AAAAATTATAGGGCAAGTTTGATTCAAGTGGATAGTGTTGATACTCCTGCTTTTTTTTTTTTTACATATGGATAACTGAAGAGAGCATGCAATGTGACGGTATTCATCATAGCTTGTTGACAAAGTGAATATTTCAACATGTCAAGATTTAAATGTGCAATCCTAACCCCCAGATACACCAGGTGGGAGAGAATGGGATGAGACATAACTCTCCACTTGCTGACTGCACACATTGACCAGTGCACACTACTAACTCTGGCAAAGGGAGAGCCCTATTGAGGCAAACTAAGCTACCAGAATTAAAGGACAAAATAGTGTATGTTAAGGGTGGGGATGGATGTCTTGAACAGAGAGATAAAAAAGTTACATGGTGTCCTAATTTCATTCATTCATTCATTTGTTCCATACACAGAATTTGCTTTAATTTATACCACCCAAAATGCAACTGTAATTACTAGAGGCAAGGAAAGGTCAGAAAATGAAGGTTTATACTGGACACCCAAACTCTGGCTGTGCCACCCTGGCCAGCAGCAGTTAGGGTGCAATTCAACTTACATAATATATACATCAGCGTGTCTGTTTCCTGGAAATCCTTGCATATATGCCTAGTTAGGATTGCTCAGTAAGCGTACCAACTATGCATTCTCTGGGCATTACACTACCCATTGGATTTGTTTGCAGAACAATTGAAAACTGTTCATGCAATTAATACAAATTAGTTTTATATCCAAATTTCAGGAATAAAAATAAAAGCTCGAAATTAAGAAGTCAAACTAATTCCTTTTGCAGAAATGAATGACTATTTCAAGGGTATCATATATACATATTTGAGATGTTAGCTACTATTTCAACTAACAGATTAAACTATTCCATTTGAAGTGTAAACTATGTATGATTAATAAGCATTAGAAATAAAATCTTCAGCATTTTATTGGTTTATTAATATTCTACTTTAAGATGAACAAAACTATGGCTTACCAGCAAAAATGTAATGTTTGTCTCAAACATTGTTGTGTGAAATGTTTCTGTGGTGCAGGAAGGTAGGATGTAAGTTTTAAAGTAAACTTACATCCTACCTTCCTGCACCACTGAAACATTTCACACAACTGAAACATTCTGTAGTATTAAGTTTCAGTTAATTCTAAAGTAGACACCTGCGTTCTGAGAACATGTGAAATTTACTTTAATACTGACTATATTAGAAACTAGAAAGCTACAGGCTTTATAACAAATGTTTATATACAAACTTTTATAACAAATGCATGTATGTCAAGTAGTACATGGTAGGAATGTTGTCTGAGCATGATCCTACTCACATACTGGCCCTACTCACACAATGAGTATTTTTGAAAATTGTGGAATCATGACTTCTTGATAAAATAAGTTAGCAAGTACTTATTCAGCGTAAGAGTGTAACTGGTAAAAAATCTGATCCTAGCCAATTTCTGGAACTTGCATTGAATTTCTCAGTGCATAAGCTGTTCTAACATTAAAAAAATGCAAAAGTATTAAGTCTTTCCTAACATATTAATAAGGTTCCTGCACAATGGAAATATATATTTAATATGTTTGCATTGTTAATACATCTTATTGGCTCTTAATCTAACAACTGACAGCAACAGCGCAATCCTATGCATGCTTATTCAAATTAGGTCCCATTGTACTCAATTGAGCTTCTGCCAAATAGTGCACTCGGGAACACAGCCTGACCTTGTTCTTAAAGTTATAGGTGCTACTTGTTTTGCCTAAATTGAATGCTACTTGAAACCCTGCATGTTCGTACACCAAGAAGTTACACTCCAAAATAATTATATGAAGCATGTATTTATCATCTACCTAGCATACGTTAAACGTCCCTAAAGCGTCCTACACATCTACAAGTGATTGGCCCTTACAACACCCCTGTAAGGTGGCCTGTCATAATCACACCCCCACCCTTTACAAACGAGGAGATGAGGTTGGTAATGCGGCGTTGATCTTAGGGACACCTAGCGAGTGAGTGGCTGAGGTGCGCTCTGAATGGAAAGGATCCCGAAGCGCCGATCCCCCACACAGCTGCTACCCTACACCCAAGGCACTCTTCAGCTACTCTTGTGGATCTTAGGGCGAGGCCGAAATTACTTATTGCGCCCGAAACAGCAGGGCAGAAGGATGGTCGGCTTTCCCCTACCGGGCTTCGACTGAAGACTTTGCGGCTCTTTTCAAACTTTCGCTCCTAACCCCACGCCGGCCTCTCTCCCGCTCTCCTCACAACGTCCTCCTCCTGCCCCGGCTTTCAGCAACAGGCCCCTCCGCCGCCAATAGCGTAACAGCGGCACCTCTCGCGGCCTAAAGATGGCGGAAGCCGCGGCGGTCTTCCGGGTCGCCGGGGTTCCTTCCCTCCCGCACCCCCGCCTCCCCACCGCCTCAAGGAGAAAAACTTACAAAGCAGCCGCTCACAGAGCCCCGTACGCGGGGCCCAAAAACCTAGAGCTCGCCTATCCCGGAAGCTGCTGCCTCACGAGCCGTCGCCACCATCCGCCATCTTCCCCACCAGCGACCGGAGGCGGTGCACATGAACGACGTCATCGCGCGCGCGCGGGGGGGACCAGCCAAAGGGAGGGAGGAGAGCGAAGGCGCTGAGCATGCGCGTACTCCTTCTGAATAAGTGACGACATCTTCTTGCGACGGGTTTCCGGCTGCTGTGGCGGAACGGGAAGGGCTTACCATGGAAAGCAGGCCGGGGAGCGGGAGCAGCAGTTTAAACCCTTATTAGAGTTCCCAAAAGGTCTCCAAATAGTAGTGATTCTTTGACTTTTAGAAGGATTGTTTCTGTGCTGATTATAGTCCAGAAGAGGAGTGAGAAAAGGAGTGTTCCAGCCCCAGCCAGCATGGACAATGGCCAGGGATGGTGGAAGTTGGAGCCCAATGACACCTGACCGACCACAGGCACCCCTCCCTTGTTCTCCTGGCAGGAAAAACCAAGATTGCGGGTGCAGAGAGAAGAGAGAAAGCAAACCCTACACGTACATAAAGCGGTTTTTAAAGAGAAGAGGATTGTATGGTGCAATTAAAAAAGCCCTTAGTTTATGAAAAATGAATGAGTTATCTCAATCATCACAAGAAATCAAGATATTACCTCAATGGTTTTCTATCATCTCCATCTCTAATGCAGTCAGTAGACTTAGGCAAGCCTAATAATTCCATAGGTTTGGGATGTAAAAATACAAGATGGGAAGGAAGGCCAATTTGCACAATTTTCTGCAGCAGATAAAAACTAGGGGGTTAAGAAACCAATCCTAACCATAGCAGGTAAATAGGTAAAGGTAACCATAGCAAGACAGTTTAAAGGGCCATAGGTAGCCAATGCAAATAGAGGTGAAGTATCAAGACCACATTGCTCATGGAAACTTGGGTATTGCCAATGGAGTGAACCAGGGCAGGTGCAAGGTTGCCACATCCTAGGTCTCTTTGTATCCCTTCTATATGCTCCAGAAACGAGCACAAATCTACGCCATCCCTTGGTTTGTCTTCTATTGCAGTCAAAGCAAAACTAATCCCCACTTTCCATGGCAATAAAAAGATGTGCTTCCTGCTCTGTCAGTTGGTAATAGCTTCTGCACAAGATAATTTAAAAGCCTCAGCTTGGTATGGCTGGGAACTAATGCAGCTTTCCAAACTTTTCATGTTGGTGACAAACTTTTTATACATGAATCATTTCACGACACAGTAATTCAGTTTTCACTAGCAAACCGGAGGTTAAACTAACCCCTTATAAGAGATACGTAAACATACATAAATTTAATAATGAAATGTATAGGGACACACCTACACACTGCAGCTGACACACTAATGTGTCACAATACACAATTTGGAAAGGGAACTAAGGGAATAGGAAGCATCTCCAAAAGGGCAAAGGAATCTGGCCACTAGAAGTGTGGTATAAAGTAGCTCTTGTTCTCCAAATTTAGTTTAATATTTGCATTGGAATAGCCCAGAGGGTTTATTCCCCCCCCCCAACTTTTACTAATAGATGTGGAAAAGGTAGAATCCAAGAAGTTTAGGATTTTATGTTTACAGATCATCATGCAGAACAATTGGGCAGCCCCCCCCCCAAAACCCCACAACCTTAAATATTTCAGGCACAAGACAAAAAGCTTATGGAAGCTGTTATGACTGGTGGTATTGCATGAGTAGTTTTCAAGCAAGATCCAACAAGGAAAAATAACTTCAATGTGATTCTCAGTGGATTGAGATCAGACCAAATTTTGACAAGGTTTTACGTCTCTCTAAAAAAAAAACTTGACCTTGACAAATTAAATACTAGGTTTTTGGTACAAAAACAAGTGGTTTCATATATAAGCTTTTCCAGTGTAATCATTCCACTGCTGCAGCTTGTGAGTGATGATTATTGGTTACTGTCTAGCAGAAAGAAAAATCTAATCAAGATGTATCAGATTTCTTCAACTTGTTTGCTTCTGTACACACTGATATTTTTTACTAAATGCTGAAGTTATTACTCCTGACTTTCCCCTGTTTTATTCACTTGGTCAGGCTTGAATAAAGAGACTAGTTCAGCAAACCTTTCACAGCTTATTGCTGTATTTTAATGTTTTAATGCTTGTAGGCTACTGTTATTGGGTGGCATATAAATGCTGTTAATAAATAAAAGTAATGAATAAATAAAATACCATTAGAAGTGATTCTGCAGGTAGAGGGAATGGAGTAAGCCGACTCATTCCTCAGTCACTGTTGCCAACTGGATGAGGGGCATCTTATCATTTATGACAGCTGACTGACGTATTGTAACATGCGATTTCTGTAGCATTAATGCATTTCTGCCTAAGTGTAGGGCATGGATCATGTTTCTACCTTTATGAACCCCATGGTTCTGCCAGCAGTTTCCTTTCACACTACAAAACTAAGAAGTGCTACTTATGGTAGCTCATTCACCCAGTTTGACATTTCCAGTCACACTTCCCAAAACACAAAAGTATTATTTTTTTCTCTCTCCGACATATTTATTGCAATTATTGTTTATATCAACGTATGTATACAATAAATAACTTTACATCAATTTACCAACATACAGCATAAATATTATATGGAATTTAATAATCCAACAAATTCCTTCAGCTCCTTGTGTTCATCCACCCCTTGCAGAGTATTTCCTCAAGACAACTGGACTTTTGTATAAACAATGAGTGAATGAGAACATTCACAAATCACAGACCCCTCATTAGAAATACTATACTTTAATTCACAAACAATTGTACAAAATTATTGTTGAGGAGAAAAACTCAGGCTTTTGATTAAAAAAACACACAAATTTATCTATCCTGATTCTACTATTACAATTCTCAAAATATAATAGGAAAAGTTTCTCCTATCTTGGGCAACGTATGTTCATTCTGTCTGGCCCCATAAACATTTTGTGTATTCCCAGGAGGAAGACAAAGTTTGGAAACAAATATTAAACTAATCAAGGCAAACTTTTCAGAGTTCTGTGGCTCATGCCACATTAGTCTTGCCAACTCTCAACAAGTCCAAAGAGCTAAGAAACCCTTTTTAAAAGCATGTCATCACCCCACATCAGCTTCTCTTTTCTACTGAGAGATAGGCAGGACTGGTCCAGAGTTGTATAGAAACAAATGAACATTCTTAGAATTCTCTTTTTCCATGTTCAGAGTTTGGAGGGTCTGGTTGCTCCTTCTAATACTGAAAACTTCGCTTGGTCTGAATGTCATCAAGAATCTGCTGCAACTCTTCATCTTCAAACCGACCCTCTAAGCTGAAAGACAGGAGCAAGCAATGGTTAAGTTTCTCTCTCTTTTTTTTTAAGGGTTGATGCTCAAGCTTTCCTGAAAGGGAAAAACTATGAATAATGTATTAAGCTGCATGGTGAGGGGGAGTGTTAAGAGCACAGGGCTCATATCTGGTTTGATTATGCTCCGGAGGATTGTCTCGGTGTAGCCAATGGCAGGTAAGATTTCCGCAAATGTGGGTTGTACTTTTGGGCATTATCCTACAAAGGTAAAGCTATAAATTACATTTAAAAAAGAAATAAGAACAAAACATAGTAGCTGCAATTATTTAAAAAAGATAACGAGTTTTTAAAAGACAGTTGAGCTAAATAGGCAGCAGGCCACTTCTTCAAGCATCAGGGCTTCAAGAGATGCTTGATCATGGTCAAAATAATAGGCAGTCAATTGAAAATATATTGACCAGTTAACTGGCTGGTATGCTAACCTTAAATCCAACTGTAGAACCATTACTCTGACTTTTTAGTTGTTCATGCTTTACAAACCCTTTGGAACATGAAGTGAATCCTTTCACCTGGGGTGACTCACCTGGGAATTAAAGCTTTGGCCTCCTCAGCTGTCTCAGGACATAAATTAGCTAAACACGCCAATTCAAATTTATGGAGCTTCTTCTGGAGTAACAAACTGCAGGAACAAATAAAATAAACTATGTATGTAAAAAATGGAATACAGAAGAGAACAGAAGTTGCAGAAAAAACAGTACAGCTACTCAAAAAGGATTAGGGATTTATTTTTATCAGGCATAGGCAAACTTGGCCCTCCAGATGTTTTGGGACTACAACTCCCGTCATTCCTGATCACTGGTCCTGTTAGCTAGGGATGATGGGAGTTGTAGTCCCAAAACATCTGGAGGGCCAGGTTTGCCTATGCCTGGTATATATAGTCTATGAAAAGATCACACAAAAGTATCACAAAAATACTAAAAGTAAATACATGGCTTTATATTGTAACATGCTTCAAAGAAAAAGTAACAGTTGCTTACTATTTACTCCACCAAAATTAGTATTCCTAGATAGATCACTTTAACTGAAAGTTACTTCTTTAACAAATCTGGTTAGGATTTCAGAAGGATGGCATTCCCATCAACAAGAGGGAACCCACTAGATTTCCAAATGTTTCTGTCAATTCACACTGCTTTTAATAAATGTAAGTAAGTACCAACTCTACATCTATTTAGGCAGCAATTCTGTTCCCACATACCTTTGAGTAAGCCCCATTGAACTCAATGGGACTTACTTCTGAGGAAATATACAGAATTACATGGTTATTGTTCCAAAAGGCAAAGAAGAAACTGCTTGGACAAGTGTCAACCCATTGGCTATAACAACTTTGAAACATAGGGTTTATCTGAGTGCTTTGACATAAAAGCACACACAGCCACTAACAGTGAACAGAACCAGTGAACACTTTCCAGATTTCAAGCATGTGCAAGAGTTATGATAAGTAGATAACAGACAAAAGTTTAAAATCATGGGCTCTAGAAGGAATCATGCTTATACTAAGGAAAAATTAATTGAAGAAGGAAAAACAATAGCTCTTTTGAATCATCTCAATTATCTATCTACACCTACACCCTGCTTTCCACATTCAACCATCAGATGCCTTTTGGAAGTTCACCATTACGGAAGCCCTTTCCCACTACAGCTCTGAAGCTGCTGGCAGTCAGTGATTACATTTGCATATAGTATTAGTCTATTTCCTACTCAATGCTGGTTAGGAATAGTGTGCCAGTTATCAATCACTACCACGTGGAAGAGCAAAATCAGCACAGCATCAGATCCTTCAGCCATATTGTCCAGTTAGATTAGCACAGGGTGGTAGAGATCTGTACATTTGCCCAATAAATGCAACCAAACAAAGTACGGCCCAAGCTAGGCTAGATAAGTAATGTTGGTAATTCTTTAGCTTAAGAGGCAACTGTATCAGTTCTAGACTAGCGGAAGGAATGTTGAATCCTACCCTTACAAGACTGAAAGTGACAAATCTTGTAATTTATAATCCTACGAACCACATAAGCATCAACTAAAGAAATAACATGGAAAGAACTCATGGCTCTACGTCAGAGCTTTCCAAATTTTTCATGTTGATGATACACTTTCTAGATAGGCATCATTTTGCGCCAAAATAATTCAGTTTTACTAGCAAACCAGAGGTTAAACTAACCCCTTTCCAGCCCCAGGAGGAGCATGGGGATGGTTCACATGACAAACCTACACACTGCAGCTGACACACTAACATGTCGCGACACAGTTTGGAAAGCTTTGCTCTAGGTTCTATGGCTTAGTACTATGTGCATGAACTGAGATGAACCAAACTTATACTCAGGCTCTCACGCTCCTTCCTTCACTCTCTTCTGCCTGCATTACCAGGGGGAAAACTTCAGCAGTGTCTAGTTTTGCTTCCAAGAAACCCAGCTTGCTATTGCATATAAACCGGATGTCATGGTTTATAGCAAAATCTGGTTTCTATGCATTTACAAGTCAGGATTCTATCAAATGAAAATGAAATACATTTTCATTTGCATTAAACTATAGTTTAACATTACATGTTATAGACTTTTAAATCTGAAGCACACCAGGGGGCTTTAGATGAAGAGCAGTCTAGGAAATGTAGAAACTAAAAGGTCTCAACAGATGTCACACCTGCACATTACTTTCAATTGTGAAATAAAACCAACTTACAAAATAACTTCATTTAATGCTAGAAATAAATGCATTTGCATTCGGGAAAAGGTTTTATTTGTTCAGCTTCTTTTGCATTCACTCCCCCATTAGCCTATGAAAAATAATTTATTTGAAAAATTATTCACCTGCGGACACTAGCAATAGTCTCCCGGTTTTTGAAGCGACTGAAGCGAGCAGTATAATTCAAGGTTTTCATGAATACTTCTGAGAGCTCCTGCTCATCTTCTGCACTCTCATTCTGCTGTTTCCGATGTTCAAGAAGCATGTGCACTTCTGAATTTAGAAGGGTTTCGGCAGTCTCAAATTCTATATGCAAAGATGGGTGAGGAAGAAACTGATAGTTCAAAAGGCACAGAGAAACACACCACCACTGGTAACACTTAAGCTGGGGTACACATATGGTGGTAGCACTTCAGGTGGTGGGTAGAGAATACTATTTTTGAATGATCTGACACATAAAACCCACTCACTCAATTGAGAAAACATATGAAAGAAAGATTCTAGATGAATCCTCTCTTTGCTGTACCTGTGGGAGCATCCAAACATGTGATTGAAGTGGTACCATTTATTCTACTACCCCATATTAAGATCCAGTTATACACAGATTATACCTCTTGATGTAAAAACAATAATAATTATCTGGCCCATCCTGCCAAATTTACAAAAAGGAGATCATTCTCCAGCTCAATTATTTGTGCAATACAGTCACATGCTTCTCCAGAATACTTCAACACACATGTAAATGTGAAAATATTTCCAAAGTCCTAGCACATATAAAACTTGAATCTTAAAAAAGGGCCTCAGATTGCTTTGGAACACAGAAGGCATCCTATGCTGCTTTGAAAGACAAAAAGCAAACAAAACAAACAAAAACAAACATACTGTTTTGTTGCTTGCTCAAGGCAGCTGTTCTGAGAGTGTGAACAATCAAAGTAACTGCATGGCATGGACCCCAGAAACAGAGCCATATATTTATCTACAGTTTATATAACAATTGTATATGTAGCATACAACAGAATACTAAACAGCCTCCCATCCAGGGAAGGGCCAGAGATGCTCAACTTCAAAACTGCTGCACCACTTGCCTCGGATAACAGGAACGGAGAGAAGACTCACATTAAACGCACATTCGCACCGTGCATTTAAAACCAGTATGGTGCCACGTTAAGCAGACAGGGCTTCCCGCAAACAATTCTGGGAGCTGTAGTTTTTCTAAGGGCGCCGAGACCCTTATCCCCCCCCCATCCAGAGCCACCATTTCCAGAGTTCCCTGTGAAGAACTGTTGGTTAAAATCACTCCGAAACCGTAGCTCCGTGAGGGGAAATAGGGGTGTCTCCTATCCAGTCTAATTACCCTTAACAAACCACAGCTCCCCGAATTATTTGGCGGCGGGCAACCATTATTATTATTATTATTATTATTATTAAAGCGGTACCATGTCGCTTTCAACGTATGGTGCGAGTGAGGCTAGCGATACACGAGCGCTTTTTACAGCCAAGAATGAGGAATGTTGCTCCCCTCCAGGCAAGGCTCCTGCTGCCTCTTTGCTCCCTCACAAGCCGAGGTCTCCTCCGGGACAAGGCCGGGAGCGCCTCGCGTCTCCTGCGCCCCCCGAAGGCCCAGCCGCTCACCCTTGGGAAATAAGAGCTGAGAAGCATCCTCCTCCACATCCACAGCATCGGCGCCTCCGGCCGCCATCGCCTCAGCCAGCCCCGGAAAACCGAGGCGCTCGGCCGGCCGGAAAAGGAAGGAAGGAGGCCTGAGCAGGTGCCCGCGACGCCCTCTGGTGGGGGAAGAGCCGGCCCGGATGCCGTCTCGGCTTGTGCTGAAGGAAAGAGAGAGAAAGGGAAAAAAGCGTGTCGGGGCGGGCTATATTGAACATGGTGTGTTCTCTCTCCGGAGCAGCTTCGCGGAGGAGAGCGATAGGGTCGCGCCCTCTCCCAGCGCCCGCTCCCAGCGTTGCCCTGGGCCCCCTTACTCCGAAGTAAATCCCACCACGTTCAGCGCGGCTTACTCCCCAGCAAGTGCGTTCAGGATTGCGAAGCGTGAATCCAGTGGGGTTTACACGGTTCCCGCGATTGTTAGCAAGATCCTGTCAGTAAATTAATCCAGACCCGACAGACAACGCCCGATCGCCCGCCCCCATAAATAATAATAATATTTGTATATATTTAGTGCTCCTCTGATACAAAGGAAGCAGGTTTCTAGGCCAGGAAGCAGTGCAGAGCTGAAACCCCGCTGAAGCGTCTGGAGTACCCAAAGTCTGCTGGCTTGGAAATGGGGCAGCCCCCCAAAGGCGCTTAAAGCCGCGACGGGTAATAAGCAGCCCTCGAGGTATCGGACTGCACTCCCCTCAAGCGCAGCCGCCATGGCAGATAGTCAGGGGTTATAGGAGTCCTGCAACATGGGGCGTGTTGTGTGCTCACGGCCCCCATCCCTCATGAAAACTACCTAGCTGGCAGAGAGCCGGTTCGTAAACGGAATGTGGGGTTCGATGCAACAGTGTGACCCACGTTCAGAACCCGCAGGTAGGCCAGGAGGATGGCAAGAGGGAGAATGTGGCATTGGAAGGGTCCCAGTTTGTTGTGGGTCCCTGCCTGCTTCAAGCTCACCTTCCTTCGTTTGCAACTGATTCGCTTAGGGCGCATAGGGGCGAGGGGGTTCTCCCCTCAATACCTCTAGGCCAGCAAGCAGAGCTGCGTGAACCACAGGCCCTGGTGCATCCATGTGACAGTCAAGACCCAAACATTGCCCTAGCCAGTTGTTTCTCTCTCCTTCCCTAACTACGCCACTGGAACTGAGCAGTACCACTGCTGCTAAAGTGACGGCAGAGAAGCGAAAGCCCTGCCCTAACCCAACTGCTTTTTGCAGCCAAGGCACCCATTAGACGTCAAATATTGATCTGCAATTTCCATACCGTCCAGGTGAAAAATGGACACGTGGCAAACACATTTCACTCTCTGCATTACCCATTGATAAGAGAAAAAAACAACCAAGGGAGCATGCACCTCATTGAGCAGAAACTTATTCAGGTTGTTAACATAACCCTAAGGAGTTTAACTCACAATTTCCTCAGAATGGGAGTGGAAGGAATCACTAATAGGTAAAAAGGTAAAGGACCTCTGGACAGTTAAGTGCAGTCAAAGGCAACAATAGGTAGGGTTGCCAGGACACCCCAAAAGTTGTTGAGCTTTCTTTTAAACAAAAGCACCTATTTGCCTAAGATCCAGGACAAAGTGCCAAGTGCCGCCTTTTGGTAATCCCCCCCCCCAATGTCAATTCTTCCATTTAAATCCCACTCCTAACTAACCATATCTGCTGAGAAGTGCCACTGATTTCATTGGTGCTTACTCCCAGGTAAGTGGGGTTAGGATTGCAGCCTTTGAGCAAGTGTGTACCTGTAATAACATTGAGTTCAGGAAAGCATGATGCATTACAATTTCCAAGAGCATGCATATATATATGATTACTTAAACAAGCAAAGGGTCAGGAAGTAATTCTGACAATCCTAAACATTTTTTCTCAGAAGTAACTCCCAATGTGTTCAGTGGGACTCAATCTTTAGGATGTTTAGGTTTGCATTATGAGTACCCTATTGTTCCAGCCCTACTTGGAAATAAGCCCACTTTAAAAACCAGTGGAACTAACTTCTGAGTAAACATATATAGAATAGGTCTGTTGGTCAAATGTGCATTAAAATAGTATCATCAATAGCCCTGTGCACTGGATATTGTGTCTCATGCACACAATGTGCTCAAGAGGTTTAAATTCAGCTATCAATTGATACAAGCCAGAATTCACATTTTATTTATGTGAATTCACAAACGTTCTCTGTTATCCAAGAGTCAGACATAAATGAGGAGTCTTTCTGCAATAGCCATGACCACCCTGGCAATAACCAGAGCTCAAATTCTGCATGGTAACTCTGAGGCATTGAAGCCAATGGGTCATTCCCATTGGGAACAATGAAGAGTTTCCACAGATAATACTGTATTTTGTCTCCTGCTGGCTTATCCAGGTCTGTGTTTGAAGCAAAAGTAACGTAAATCACAGGTCCCAAATATATATTGTAGCTTATAGTGAGAAATTAGATTCAAAGAATTTGGACTAGCAGCTTGATGAAACACTCTTTACTCACTTTTAACATTTCACCTTGTTCATTCATGGAACTGGGGAAGGTGGACACTTGGATCACAAAACACCATACTTTCAGAACTTTAGTTTTGAAAAACAACTTTCCAGAGCTTGCCTAAGTAGAATCCAATTGTCTTATAAGATTAAGTGCTTTAAGGGATAGAATAATCTATTAGAGAATGTTTGATTCCAAATCAATGCAGCAGCAGAAAAGCAGAATGTATCCTTCCATTAGATGCATTACTGCTCATTCTGCACATCAGGACAGGTAGTGGTACTTGTCTTCAGGCCAAACACCCTCAAGCAAGAAAGAACCGCTTAACATTTAATTGGTAAAAAATCACAATAGTCTTTTCCTGATGGGATTTTTTGGTTGCTACTATCAACTGAAGTTGATCTGGGACTGTTGCTGGCATTCTTTACCAAAACACAAAGGAAATACCTATGGCACTTGCTACTTATTGAGTCTGACAGGCTCAGCTTTCTTATTTTACAGATATTGAGTTAAGACTATTGCTATGCATAATCTAAGTGATACAGAACTGTAAACGCTTTCTCAGCATTTATGTTGCAGCTGTGCTTTTAAAGCACTTTGCATACATAATTTTGGTAAATGTCAATTTCAAAACGACCACCCTGAAATCACTTTTTATCTTCTAATGAGAACAGGCAGTTCACCACAACCAGATAAGCATGAAAGTTTTAATTTTTAAAAAAAATACAAGTTCCAATCTCATTACTTCTGAGCATTTCCTAATTTTGTTAAAGAATACGCACTGCTTGCCTTTCAACTTTAATTTGCCTTGTAGGATTAAAAAGAAACAACACAAAATGAATTACTAGTATTAGATTGTAATGTGAAAAGTCAAAATCGACAAAGACACCAATAAAAGAGGAACAAGATAAAAATGTATCCATTACAATTTATTTTCTACAATACTTCATTAGAGGGTAAAGTTCAATGATTTACACCCAGAAGTTATATAGCTAGGAGGCAACCAAGTGTAATAACAAAGAATTGGTCTGACATCTCTGCATTGAAGGTCAAAAGAAATTCCTTGCTTTTAAAGGAAAAACAAAAGAAAAATAACCCCAAAATGTCACTCATTTTGGTGCTAGAAATCAAACAAAACAGCACTCAGTCAATGAAGACTGCAATGTTAACAATGAATCGGGGAAAACAATTATGTGCAAAACTTAAAATTTTGGTTGAAATGTACAGATTACTTCGCCTTTATGGTCTTCAGATGCAGTTTTCTGCTGATCTGATATTCTGACCATAAAATCTTTCTGACCAAAATGCCTCTATCAAGATAGGCTCGTTGTCATTATGAAAAGGGGTGGGGGGAACAGTGAGACTCCAGTGATCAAAGACATTATCTGCTGGAGAGAAAAAACAAAAACAAAAACCATACACTAAAGATACATGGCTGCAGCAAGGAAGATTCCCAACTACAGCTGTCTTGAAATAAAACCATCTAGACCAAAAGGCACTTGCTTGTAGCTAAGGATGAGCCAGTTCCCAATCAGACCAGAAGACTATTGCTAAGGTCTTTATACAATCCTGCTACTCACTAATCAGCTGAAAAAGACAACTGGTTACGGCTCCAGAACAGGCGGTTCTCTTTTAGCTATTTTGTTGGTTCCCACATCATTCAAATATCAGTGTTGGCTCATCTTGCTGCATTACTGCTATGTATGAGCCAGATATAGTGTCATCTTCTGCAGACGACTTATTCCATCCCATACATTTTGCAGGAATGAAACCCACTAACACACTTGTTCAAAGATACTGTAACTGAACTCCATTATGAGACCAATGCTGAATGTACCCATTTCTCAGGACTATTACGTGCTTCATGGCCTGCTTGCTGTTCCACTTAGTACAAGAAAACACCACAATCCAACTTTAACAGAGGCATTTCCATTTATACAGACTAGGTGGTGGGATGGAAATAAGGGCAGGGAATGAGACCACCTCTCACTCCAAAACCAATTTAGCTTACTTCAGTGAAATGGTTAAATTAAACCAAGTAGGTCAAGTCACTCCTAAAAGTCTGTTCTTTAAAATGGCAACTAAGGTCCCCACCTGGCTCCTGAACTCCCACACCCATTAAAATGAAACCAAATAATTAACACTATACACTGTTGAAGACACGTAACAGGGCAAACATTTTTTTTAAAAAAAAGCAATATTGAATAGCCTGGCACTATATGCCTGCATGACCAGTCTCACCGAATGTGCTCAGGGGTGAAAGATTAGCACCATTTTTTTTTCCTTTTTGCTTTTAAAAAAATCTTTACAATTTAAATTCTAAAGTAGAACACTTGAATAGTAATTAGTGTAGCCCTATGTTTCAATACTGTCTGAGAGCAGAGATGGATGGCATGACCACAGCTGAACTCTCCTCTCCCATCTACAATCTCCCATCAGTCCAGGGCACCTGGAACATTAACTACAAATCACTCTAATTTGTAAGAAGACTGATTTATTCTCAGTAGCAGGAAATCATGAAACAGTCCCTTCACATTCAAACACATTTCATCATCATTAGAAGGGAAAAAAGTGGTAATCCATACAAATGATCTGATACAAAACCAAAGCTGGGGCAGTACTGCAGATATCTGGAATATGAGCTCCTCTCTCTCTCATTCCCACCCATAACCATCTAGATATGTGTTCATTGACAAGCAAAATTTCAAGGTTAGGTTTTCTTCTGAGACAGGAGGAATAGTGGTAGAAAAATAAGTAATTTGGAGGCTTCCTAGA